TTGCAATTTCAGAGAAATCTGGGGTAGTGAGGTTGATATTGTTTACCCGAGAAAAAGGCATCAGCGACACAATTATCATACCAGAGACATATCTGATATCTGTACTGAATTGGGCAATGAAATCCAACTGTCGAAACTGATGAGGAGAACATGAGTCAGAGTATTTTTGAAAAGCAAAGATTAATGGTCGATGATCGGTAAAAATGATAAAGTCGTGTCCTTCCAGGCCAAATGGCATGTACAAGTACTCAAAGAGACCAAATGGTGTGAGGACAGCTGTTTTTGGAATGTCTGAGGGGTTTACAAGGATTTGGTGATAGGCATGGGTTAAATCAAGTGTTGAGAATATGTTCTTTCCTGAAAACATTTGAGTGCAATCCTGAATATGGGGTATGGGATAACGATCCAGAATTGTAAAGGCGTTTAAGCGACGATAATCACCGCATGGTCGCCAGTCGCCATTTGCCTTACGAACCATATGCAGGGGGCTTGCCCAAGGACTTTTTGAAGGCTGAATGATGCCTTTTGATAGGAGAAATTCAAACTCTTGACGTGCAGCTTGAAGTAATTCTGGAGATAATCTTCTAGGTTTTGAGAAAATAGGGGGTCCTTTAGTTTCAATGTGATGGAAAACAGTTGACATTGGTGTCCTCTCAAAAGTTTACGAAGGATTCGTCAAGCTGGGGTAATCGGCAAAAATTTTGTTAAATTTCGAGTTACCCATCAAAATATGGATGCTAGTACTGAGCGGGTTCACATTGGGAAGTCTACCACAAGAATATAGTTTTGTTTGTCCATCAATTAAACGGTTGTTTTTAACATCTATAAGTAAGTTGAACTTCGTGAGAAAGTCAACACCTATGATGGGTTGATTGACGTCTGCCAGGACAAAAGGCCAAGTAAATGAGCGACGTAAGTTTAAATTTGATGGTCAAAAGTTTGGTGCCATACATTGCTATTTTGGTGCCATTAGCAGCAAAGAGTACCAATGCAGCTGGGTTTTTGGCATGCTGACTGTAACTCTTGGGAATGACAGATAAATCGGCTCCGGTGTTGATTAAAAAGGTGAGCTTTGACGATGGATCGGCCAAAAGAATTCGATTAATATGGCGGTCGCAATGTTGGCCGACAAGCGATCGCCGATCTAGTTTGCCGAGTGCCAGAAATTGCATGGAGAAATAGATTTTCATGCATTGGAACCAAAATTAGCATGGTAGAAACAAATGTTGTTGCACGGTTCTTTATACTATCGATAGTGTCCATTGGATCTATTACGCCTTCTGTTGTGTTGGGAATGATTGTCTCTTCGTTCACAGGAATACTCATGGCTGTTTTTGATGGCTAGGGAAAGTTCATTTACTTGCTTCCTCAGCTCTGCAACTTGCTGTTCAATGGGAGAGTTAGATGCTGTAGCAGCACTATTTATGTGAGAGAGAGTTGTGAGATCTGCAATTTTATCAGCTACAACTGCGAGTTTTGGGAGATCATCACTTAAGGCAGCAAGAATACTCAGTGTATTTTGCGGGAGATGAGATATCCATCTCTCCAGCAAGGTTTCGCATATGGCAAAGTAATTGTGAAGGGCGTTGACTGCTAAGTTCTAGCCCCTGAAGAAGTGTACAGATCTTTGACTCCTCACTTTCAGAATGCAATTAAGCATGTTTTTAGTGTATCGTATTTGTCAGTAACTGGTGGGTGTAAAGCAATGTCGCAAACGCTATTGAGAATATCAGATTCAATTGCAGATATCACATGATTGAATTTCGTGGAGTCAACATTTATTTCGGTGATATCAAACTGGGCCTCCAGTTGTTCAAACCACAAAGTGGGGTTGACCTTCCAAAATGGGGGAGGCTTGATGGCTCATGTGAGATATTAAGATCGTCTGTGACGGTTTGTGGTGGAGCTATGATTCACAAAAACAAATATACATTGCCAATATGACAAAACAAATAAACAGACAATAAACAGAAAATAATCAGTCACTAATAAGTTCACATACAATACTAGTGCAAAATAAATAAAGTTAATGCAAACATTAATGTGAGAAAAACACTTTTGGTAGGTATGCTATCTGAATATAAGCATAAGTTTTAAAGTACTACTAACTAAGAATTTGCGTGGCTTACCTCCGAATTATACGAGAAATATTTGCTCAGTCAGCGGCAGATTCAGCATAAAACAATTCACTTATAGAAAAATATTCTGAAAAACTTATTTTGTGATATGTAACCACGTTGTAGAATATATATACAAATTTCACTTCTAAACACTTTGACATTTTGCATGAGGTAAGTTATGATTCACAAGCACATTGTTAAGGAGACACAACTGTTTTTCACACTATTTTGATGATAACACAAAAATAATGATGGATTACAATATTCGTTTTGCGATAACAGACAATATTTTCACTTCACAGCACTTCATGAGCACAGAAATTGAGGATGCAAGCAGGTTCCAGGAGGTACGTGTTCACTAACTTGATGGGTCATTATTTATGGCTTTCGTTTATGGATGCCATTTTGGGTCGCATGTGTTGTTGCTGTTGTTAAAACGATGATAGCTTGGCTTGGTAATATTAACATTTTTATTTAATACTAGAAAGGATATATATTTTCAACACATGCTCACTCATACACAGTCACATTGAATGCAGTTCACACAATAAGCATTTTTACAGGTAGCAAGTCCACATAGGTAAAAAATCATGAGTCATATTACAACTACGAAGACATCATGGAGCGGAAGCGGAAGAGAGGTGAGCGAGTGCTTCACCAATGGCAGCCAGGAACAGAGTTAATGTCATCGCCGTGTACAGTTTCTTTACGCGAGGTCTCGCGTGACTACTGACGTCACTTCACTGGTTACCAACTGGATTTGACAGGTGGTGCTATCTCTTGAATAGAATTTAAAGTATCTGTGGGAATGCCACAGCCTTTGATAAAGCTCTGAAGCATAAAATTCCATATACAGGGTGTCCCACAAAGGCCACTGTTCTTAAAATTAAATAACTCAAAAACAAAGATTGATAGAAGAATGAAACAAAAAGTATGTTTATTGGGACAGCTGTAAAATTTTGATACAAAAGTTTCCCATTTTGTTACAGAAGTTGCCGATAGGGGCGCTGTAGTCGCAGTACATTCTAGAAAAATGTAATAAACACTCTGCAAGCCAATGTTGCAATCACATCACAATCTTTTCAAAATGTCCATCTTTCGCAGTACAGAGGTAGTGCAAATGAAGAACGAAATTTTCACACACCTCCCGTAGTTTGTCAATGGAAATGGATGTACATGCTTCACAGATCGACTCTTCAAGCTCGTCCAGTGTTGCAGGCTTCTTCTGGAAGAGAGTGCCCCACAAAAAGTAGTCACAAGGGGTAAGATCGGGTAAGTATGGAGGCCAATCCATGTCTGTTCCAGTAAATTTGAAATTGCCCAAAGCAATAACTCTGTTCCTGAAGTATTCTTCAAGGAACTGAAACACCTGTTTGGTGCAGCGTGGTCGGGCACCATCTTGCATGGACCAGGAAGTGCCTGGTCGATCCTCCAACACTAACAGTGTGGTGACAAATTGTTCTAACATTTCAACATGATAGTCAGAAGTGATCGTTTCTCTCAAGAAGAATGGGCTGATAATACACCTTTGTTGGATACTGCAGCCCAAACAGTAACTTTGCAGGAATGTAGTGGTTTTGTTTCACACAAATGGAGGCTTTCAGTACCCCAAATTTGGCCAATTTTGTTTATGACACCATTCAGGTAAAAATGTACTTCATCTCTGAACCATATGCAGTAACATCGAATACATCATCATCAAGCATTGTGAGCATTTTGTTTGCGAACCTTCTGTATGTTGCACACAGCTCGAATGGGAATGGCTTGGTGACACTGGATCTTGAACGGAAACATGTGTAGCCTGTTTCTAGTATTCTGGGGTGCATGCTGGATTGTGTTAAGGCAGTTTTTGCTACAAGTCTTTGGCTGGAAATCCTCAGATTTTACTGAATAACTGTAGAAACTGTCGTGATACTTTTAAGAGTAACTACAGAGTACCTGGGCCAACAATCCCCATGAACTCATCAGTCATGCTTCCTGTTCATTGAAATTTATTGAAAAGCACAAGAATAGTTTTCGAATCAGAACCTTTTGCAATGTTAAATCGTGATTGAAAACTGCGACTTGTTGCCGTAGCACTGTAATTTAACCTGTGAAATTCCAGTACCAGAAAAAAATATTGTTCCATGGAATATATGATTTCATGCACATCCTTCAATATCATAACGCCTTTTCACGTTTTGACAATGTAACTGTCCACAGACTGATCACTCTGGACTTCAGATCACTCTTTATAGGGACTTCTTGGCAATAGAGTATACGGTGCCACCTATTGGCATTTTTATAACTAAACATGAAACTTCTCAATCAGATTTTTACAGCTGTCCCAATAAACATACCTTTTGTTTCATTCTTCTGTTTATGTTTGTTTTGGAGTTATTTAATTTTAAAAATAGGGGTCCTTTGTGGGACACTAGGTATTATTAGAAGTAGTCACAAGAATTAGATTAAAATTTGCATTGGAATATTAATATGGTATGAAATTAAAATATACAATTGTTTAACAGATGTGATGCAAGATTTCACAGACAATTCTTATAATGCACCCCCTTAATTACTGAAATTTATATACAAGATCTATTCTAAATGTAGTTGAAATTTAATATTAATTCAGATTACAAATTAGGCAAAATTCAACATTACTGCAACAGTTTCACAGAAAAAAATAGGCATTTAAAAGAAAGTTGCTAGTACAATGTCCCACAACTGTAATATCAAAAATATTCTATTTTGCTCCTTGAAGAAGGAGGATATACCTTTTACAAATCTCTTTTGAAATAACAGCTTTTAATAAAACCATACAAATATAAAATTGGATTCTACTTAATTTTAATTTTATATTTAATTCAGAAATATTCACACACAGAGAAAGTAACTCACTTCAGCCCATGGACCAGTCTTCCAGACTGAAGAATTATCATCATAAAGATTCATATTATTTGAACATACACAGGTTTCAGAATCAGAAGGTTTAGTTTCTAAGCCACACAAGACAGGGTCTCCAGGGTCTCCCTTTGATGTAATACACAGCACCTGCCTTTCTCGAACTGCTCGTTGACATGAGCACTATTGCAAGAATTGAAAAATTGTAATTAATTTAAAAATACAGTGAGGTTAAAATAATGTTAACTTTACACTTAGATTAAAATATACATTCTAAAATATCTTTCTACAGTAACCAAACACTTACATAACTGATACAAAAGAGAATACACAGAGAATACAATAACAATGTCCTCAAATAAAACATTACTTAAAATAAAAATATCAAGTTGATCAGATAATAAGCAGGATTTTAATATACCTTAATTCAAATGCAATGCAATGTCCTAAAGTGATTCTGAAATTTTCATAGATTATTGTAGTTTGATACTATGCCTTTCTTTCCCAATTTCAGATAATGAAAAATTACCTAATTTTATTCATAGTTAACTCATGTAACCTAAAAAGCTACATACTCTCTGCATGAGTTTTCTTTATTAGTTTCACCTCCATGGAAATGTAGTAGACATGAATTGGAAGAACTTTTTTTCCGCATGCCCAGCTGTTATCAAACAAAGTCAATAAAAAAGATGCTAGTTTAAAACGTACCATTGCAGAAATTTTAATTTTTAGGACAAGCCTAGAAGGGGGTGATCAAACAGGTGAAAGGTCCTTTGAAAATGCTGACATAGTCAATTTATGTATCACCAGTACAGAAACAGTCTTCCTTTGATTATGGCTTGGTTTTATAATGGCAAAGCATTCAAAGGCTATCTGACTAAAGAGAGGAATGCCTGCATAGAAGACTTTTTAAGAAAAAGTGGCTTATATCCATGTTACACATAAGGAAAACCATGAAAACAACGCAGCCAGACGATTTGCTGAAATTTGAAACCAGTTTCAAATACCAATGTTTAGCGAATTTACTGCCCAGCTGCTAGTGAGCCACAGAAACAGTGAAGAGATGAATATCAGTAGATCATCTGAAAGGATTTGGAAAACATTCTTGTGTTGGTATTTGTATTCCACAGAAACTAACAGCTGAAAAACATCAGCAGTGAGCATTAGTATGCACCCCTCTGTTAACAAAAAATGTCTGCAAGAAAGAAACCTTTCTTAAGGCATATCATAAGGGATACGAAAAAGAGATTCTTTAGATTATTTATACTAATTTTTTTGAAAAAGGCAAGAGCCAAAATATAAAGTTACTAGTCTCATTAAGAAAATCAGTTGGACTGAGCCTAAAGAAGACTCTACTCTGCATATGGTAGGGAATGGAAGGTATGGTTTATTTTGAACATTTAGATAATAACCCAACCATGTATGCAGATTTCTTTATCAAAAGTCAGATAACTTAAAGTGAGCTTCAACCATAAAGTGATTTGCGTTGATCAACAGACCTAACGTAATCTTCAGCAGGATGAAATACTTAAACCATATACAGCAAAAGAAACTTAAAAAAGACTTAATTAAGATACAATTACACGCGGAACAAGCATTAGTTTAGAAGTCAAACAACAAAAATCAGCACGTTCATTTTTGTTGTTTCACTTCTAAATTGAAAAAGACTTGTTAATGGGAATTTTTTATTTATCTTTCTATGAGTTCTGTCTAAGAGTAAATACAGTCAAAAGTCGTTAATTCGGACACCCATAATCCGGAATGATCTATAATCCGGACCTCAAAGATATAAACTTTCTGCGCATGCGCCGCGTTGACACATGCGCATAGGCGTTTACGCGTGCGCGTAAGACCTTTACGCGAACGCGCATATGCGTGTGCGCAAGTGCAGAATACGTTTTCGCGTGCGCGTTTAACAGACGTATAACGTATAACGGACGGTATAAGCTAAAATTATACAATTATCTATTTCAGTTAATGTTGATGCTTGCGTTATTCCTTAATCTTCGAATTGGATGCAGCTTATTATTTTTTGCAGACTGTAAGAGCAATTTTATAAATGTCTTTCGATTATGTCAATTTCCGATTCTGGAGCTCCCAAAGGATCTACAAAACGAAAGTATGTCTCAATGTCCGTCAAACAAAAAGTGGAATTGTTGCAAAAAAATGGATAAAGACATGAAGAAGGTGATAGAGAGGTTAGTGAAAACGAAAAAAATTCGATTGACAAGTTAGTCGGTATTCTTGGCACAGCAATTACGGGACTTGAACAGCGGAGCTTTTTAACTGAACAAGAAATTATGTCTTTATAGAATTAAAGAGAAAGTATTATCACATAAAACGAAACAACTTACATTGAAAGAAATGTTTAATAAAGTAAACAAATAAATATTAAGGTTCTTTTTTTGTAAATGTTGATACCCTTTAGATCATAATTGTTCTTTATTTCCTAAAATACGGTTTCATATTTTAATTTTAGAATTTGTGCATGCCATCTTACGAGATTTAAACTGATGATCTATAATCCGGAAAAATCGATAATCCGGAATCGCCGAAGTCCCGACGAGTCCGGATTAACGACTTTTGACTGTAAAGCATTTTCTGGTTGGCTGAAGCTTGAACAATTAACTGGAAATAGAAGATGTAGGAAATAAATATTCTGTGGCAAAACTAAAAGGATTCTTTAAAAGCAAGATAGAAAAGTTGTCCGAGTGGTGAAAAGTTATAGATAATGATGAATACTATTTAAAAATATAAGTTTATGCAATTTTTTTCTCATTTGATGTCATCTATCTCAATTCTCCATTACTTACCTATCAGCTCCATAATTACAAACATCATAGTCAAAAATGGTCAACCTTAAAACAACATTGTATAGTAGAGTTCTGTAAACCTGACTTACTAAAACTAATACTGTACACTGAGAAGAAACCGAAAATGTCAAGGTTTTATAAAATAAGGGTTACGTTTCTGAGGTACACCCTAATTTTAAGACAGTTATTTTAAGTTTATACCACTTTTCCACCTCTTCTAGCTTCCACTTACAATTACTTGCCAGAATAAGTTTTTAGAATCACATTAAATGCATACAAGAAAGAGTAAGCATTTAAGTCAAAGTTCCACTTTGGGAAGAGAATAAGGATTCCTGAATGGCGCGTGTTTTGCCTTAGGGCTACGTCTCTCTAAGCTGTTACTACGCATGGCTGTATTACGTGCCCTTGATATATTTGCTAGCTAATTTAATATTATGGGTCAACTAGTTTAGAATTTGTGTTAGCTTCCGCTAAGTCTCTTTAGTTAGTTCTTATTTCTTACATTTTTGAGTTTAAGCCCAAGTGAAGGCATTGTTGTACGCCCTGAGTAAGGAGCCATCTGTGAATCTTTAGTTTAAGGAATAAAGGGTAATTAACCCTTTTTGAGTTTATGTTTCCATTTTTGGACTTAAGTGATTATTCACTTAGTAGTTCACTAGGTTCCTCAACACTTAGTTAATAGATAAAAGTGAGGAACCCTACATTGGCAGCCAAAACACTGACAAATTATGTCGTTAGAAAATGGAAAATTTACTCCGACCCCTTTCACCTTTCAAATCTCAGCTAGCAGGTAACCCTATGGAGAGATTCGGTTTCATGGTAGAAACCATGCGGGCAGCTATGAAGCCAGCCACGACGTTTGATGGCAAAGGTGCCATGATGACTTTCCTAGAGCAGATGGACCTGCATTTCACATTACACTGAAGTGACAAAAGTCATGGGATAGCAATATGCAAATATACAGATGCCAGTAATCGCGTAGAAAATGCATACATGCGAAGTGCTTTGGCAGGGCTTTCATTTGTGTTCAAGTTATTCATGTGAAGAGGCTTTGACGTGATTATGGCTGCACATCGAGAATTAACAGACTTTGAACGTGGAATGGTAGTTGGAGCTAGACGCATGGGTCATTCCATTTCGGATATCGTTAAGGAATTCAACATTCCGAGATCCACAGTGTCAAGAGTGTGCCGAGAGTATCTAATTTCAGGCATAACATTCCACCATGGACAGTGCAGTGGCCGACCACCTGCACTTAACGACCGAGACCAGCGACGTCTGCGTAGAGTTGTCAATGTTCACAGACAAGCAACACTGCGTCAAATAACCACAGAATCAATGTGGGACGTACGAGGGACGTGTCTGATAGGACAGTGCAGCGAAATTTGTCTTCCTTGGGCTATGCCAGCAGAAGACAGACTCGAGTGCCTTTACTGACAGCACGACATCGCTTGCAGCAACGTTCGTAAGCATATCGGTTGGTCCCTAAACGAATGGAAAACCGTGGCTTGGTCAAATGAGTCATGATTTCAGTTGGTAAGAGCTGATGGTAGGGTTCGAGTGTGGCGAAGACCCCACGAAGCCATGGACCCAAGTTGTCAACAAGGGCACTGTTCAAGCTGGTGGTGGTTCCATAATGGTCTGGGCTGTTTTTACATGGCATGGACTCGGTCCTCTGGTGCAACTGAACCGATCATTGACTGGAAATGGATACCTTCAGCTACTTGGAGATCACTTACAGCCATTCATGGACTTCACGTACTCAAACAACGACGGGATTTTTATGGATGACAATGCGCCATGTCACCGGGCCACAATTGTTCGCGATTGGTTAGAAGAACATTCTAGACAATTCCAGCGAATGACCTGGCCAACTGGATCGCCCGACATGAATCCCATCGAACATTTATGGGACATCATCGAGAGGTCAGTTCGTGCCCAAAACCCTGCACCGTCAACATTTTCACAATTATGGACGTCTATAGAGGCAGCATGGCTCAAGCTCAATATTCTTGCAGGGGACTTCCAACGACTTGTTGAGTCTATGCCACGTCGAGTTGCTGCACTCGCCGGGCAAAAGGAGGACCGACAAAATATTAGGAGGTATCCCATGACTTTTGTCACTTCAGTGTATATCCCGTAAACCAGCTGCAGAAAGTAACAATTGCTACGGCTAACTTAAAAGGCTAGGCCCTGAGTTGGTTCAAGGCTATTTGAAAATTCCTGATGTGGGATTAAGGATCGGAAACCTACAGCAGGGAAAATTTTAATTAAAACCGCGCTATTAAAAGTTTCCTGTAGTCAAAGACCGAGTAAAGCTGGAAGCAGAGGTCTTTAGTAAATATCAGATGAATACCGAAGATCTGATCG